CCACATCGAGGCTCCCGGCCCTGTGCGCATCCCTGCCCCACCGGCCGGTGGCAAAGCCTGGGGCCGTCCGCTGAGTGCTTTCTGTGGAATCTGAAATGGCTTTGCTTAGGTATCTGAAGAGCGGCCAACGAATCTGAGTCTGTCCGATTCAAGTGATGCTTTCACTGTAGCTGTGTTAAAATTTCAGAAGTTTTCCATCGTTTAAAAAAACGTTTCGTGCCAGGGATTTGGCTCAGTGGTTCTGCTGCCTGCCTCGCAAGCACAAGGTCCTGAGTTCAGTCCCCGGTACCCACAAAAAAGCAGTAATAAAATAAAATTTTCAAACATGGCAGCACATAAAGATCACGCGCCCGTGGGGAGCTGGTACACGTGCCTGGCACTGTTTCCTCCTCTTTCTGTCCCTTTCTCCCCCAGCCCATCCCATCTCTGCATCCCTTTTCCTTTTGGGAAAGACCGGCCTCCTGTCTGTCTTCCTGGAGCTTCTCTCACTGATCGCCTTGTGTGCTTCCTTTACACTTTGCAAGAAGCTCAGATCTGCTCTGGCACCCAGCTGAGGGACCGGGCCACCCTGGGGCGCGGAGGAGCGCACGCCAGCTGCTGTTGGTTTTTCCATTTGTTCCAGACCCAGTGTGTCTGTGTCCCTAACAGCAGACGCGCGGGAGGCAGCAGCCAGTGCAGAGGTGGGAAGCAGAAATCCTGTGGTATCCATTCCTGCGGGCCAACCTCAACCTGCGGTCATTTCCAATCTGCGAGACGCCAGGGTTCCAGGCACAGGGTGCAGCAGTAGATTATAGTTTGTTTTAGTGTCCTGGGTTTGATGCCCCATCTCCCTGCAGATTCTTAAACACTTAATAACGATACTCACGATGGTTTCCCAAGCCGGATCATAGCAGATGAACACATCCCATCATCTTTGAAGGACTCCGCCTGAGAAACCCATAGGCTGCTGACCGTTCTCCCTGACTCTAGAAGAAACCAGGCGAGGACTGACGTTTTTATTTCGGCTCGTGAACCGCTCTTAGCTTCCTCCTTTCTCTCCTCTGAGCAGAAGGCCCCCAGCCCTCCAGCAGGGATTGCTTTCCTGCCCGAGGGAGCGCGTGAGGTCTGTGTGGACTGTGCTCCCTGTGTCTAATGCGCGGTCCCCACCGGTGCTGCCTTCCCAGCTCCCTAAACCATCCCGGCTCCACTCCTGTGTCCTCCAAGGTGGTTCTCATTTGGGGTCTCGCTGTCTTTGATTTGGACACCTGCTTCTATTTACAGGCCTCTGAGATCTCTGATTAAGATCAGGTTTTGTAACCCTTCCCGGCTCCTCTCTGTGGGGCTGTCCCTGCGAGCTCTTCAAAGCCCTGGCTCCCCACCATGGAGTTCTGCACCGGGATAATTAAGAGTTCTTAAAAGTAGATCTTCAATCCATCCCGGGACGTTTTATCTTTTGATTTTTTTATTCATCCTTACTGTCTAAAACAGAAATGTTCATTCCTATGAATTAATCAAAGTTTTCTTGATTCCTATTATAAATACAAATGGCACAAATCTTACTTTAATGTTAGCTTTTACTTTTCAGACTTTTGTGGCTCTTAAGGGAAATCCATTTGCCACAACTTTGTGATCAGAAAATCTTACCACAGAACTGTATCAGTTTCCTAAAATTTAAACGAGCATTTCTCCCACAACTTGGCAAAAACTTTGATAGTGAAATGTGATTTTTAAAAACTTTGTATTTTTCCAAACGTAAAGCGGTAGAAGAGTATTTTAGAATCCCCTGCAAGGAAAGACAATCTTTCTAGTCTGGCTTTGTTTCCAAAGTGGAGACATTGGCACCATTGTGTCCCCAAGCATTTCAGTCTGGTGAATGATCTTTTATTTGTGAGTGGGTTCTGTGCATTAGAAAATGAGCAAACTCAAGCAGCTGACAGTACAGGGGAATAGTTGAGTGTGTGCCCTGCTTATTTCTCCTTGTATTTTTTTTTTGTCAGCTGGCACCCTTTGCCAGCCTCGCTTCCCTGTTAGCTGAAGATACCTAGTTGTACAAGTGGAGATCCAACCCTGATCGGCACTGGGGGTTCATTTGTGTTTATGATCCTGGGTTTTCTCAGCAAGTTCTGTTTTTGTTTGTTTTGCTTTTTTGAGACAGGGTCTCACTATGCAGTCCAGACTGGCTTTAAGCTCACTGTATAGCCCAAGCTGGCCTCAAACTTGCAGCAATCCTCCTGCCTCAGCCTCCCGAGTGCTGGGATTACTGGCTTGCACTATCACGCCAGCTTTCCCTGTTTCAAATTGTTTTTGAGAAACAAGATCGGGGAGAATATGATCAGTCACAGGATGGCTGAGGCTGGGCAGGAAGCAGGGCAGGAAGGGCCACAGCCTGGAGCCGGGCAGCAGAGGGGAGCCCGTGGTTTGGGCTCACATCTCCTGCTGCTGCTGCCACCTCCACGCTGTCACCTGTGGCTGCTGGGCGTCCAGATCCGGTTGGTGGCCCCAGTGCTGGCATCTGGGACGTGAGGCAGACACGGCGTGTGCACGTGTGCGTGTGTGTGAGCGGGCAGAGACGTGGAGGACACGGAGACAGACTGACCTCAGGTTCACGGCCAGAGTGGTGTGTCGGACGGGCATGGCTGCTCTAACACATCTTCAAATCATCCCCCCTGGCGTCCACACAGGGTGCTGGGCTCGGGCGCCAGGACCTGCTGCCAGCGCTGGGAGGGGCGCCCGTTAACTCACAGTGCTGAGGAGATCGACTCGTTTCCTGAGATGCTGGAGAACAGGACAAGGAGACCAGCGGCAGCCTGGCCTCCGGCCGCCAGCACTCGGTCTTACGCCAGTGAGCGGTAGGGTCGTGGAAGGGCATCGCACCCGCCGCTGCCCGGCCGCCCTCTCACGCGCCCGTCTCCTCCTCTCTGTTGCAGTGGCACGCCCTGTCTCGGGAGGAGCAGGCGAAGTATTACGAGCTCGCACGCAAGGAGAGGCAGCTCCACATGCAGCTGTACCCGGGCTGGTCCGCGAGGGACAACTACGTAAGCCGCCCTTCCCTTGGTGCTGTGCTCCGCGCGGTGGGGCCGGGCCGGGTCTCCCTGTGCCTGCAGACTGGTGGCGGCAGTGGCCGCAGAAGTGAAGGTCCAGGCGCCCTCCCACTCCCGCTGGGCTGAGGGCTGTGAGCTGCCGCGATTATTTTGGAGAGGATGCTGATGCATTTTTAAAATAAAACCTTTTAAAAATCAAAATGTAAAACTCTGATATGAAAATGTAGGTTTAAAAAAGGAAACCCATAATCCCACCCTGTAAAGGCAAGACTCCTGTTTGCCTGCCAGTCTGGTACTTCTCCTGGTGGTTTTCCCCCTAATTTGGATATAGGTGTGTATGTACATGAATTTTGTGTCTTACCTGGTGTGTGTGTGTGTGTTTGTGTATCATTTATGGCAGACTGAGTATTTCATTCAGTGAATGTCACAGTTTAGATCACCATTTTTTTCTGCTTTTAGACATTTAAGTTTTCTATTTTTTCCTTCAAAAATACAAATAGTGCTGCAATGAGCATGTCTATTCGAACAGATTTCCCTCTGTAGGATTTATAGCCATGGAATTGTTGAGCTTTTAAAGAATATAAATGTTTTAAAGTACCTGATACATACTGTCAGATTTCTTTCTAAAGGATTATATCACCTTACAATTCCTGGAAACAATGTATTCAGCGGATTTTTTCTTTCCTCACAGATGAATCAGAGCTGAACACAACTTTTACTCTGTATCACTAGACCCTGGCAGTACAGTGTACCTTTTCAGGCAAGCAGGTCGCACCGAGTTTAATTTCATTTTCCCAGCAGGAACTACCTGCTCCTGGCCCCTCTTCCTGTTCTGTGCAGTTTGGGTGTCTTGATATGGCAAGGGCTGTTACTTAGAAAGCATATTATAAGTGATATATTTGAAGTTTTATCATTTTATAAAAATGAATAATTTTGATTCTTTGAGCTCTTAGAATAATTTGAAGGTCATTCTTGGTTTGTTCAGGCTGCTGTAACCATAGGATAGACCGAGGGCTCACAGACAAAATGTGCCCCTTGCAGTCCTGGAGACGAAAACCTAGCACCACACCGTGCTCTTGCTTTGTCCTCCCCCGTGGAGTGGTGAGGGAGCCGAGGCTTTCCCGAGGGCTGAACTCTGATCACCTCCCGAGGCTGCCACTGCTCCCCATCTGGCTCAGGGTTAGGACTGTGGAACATTTCTCAGTCCACGTGAGACTGGCCGCAGGAAAGCCAGCCAGGAGCGCCTTAGCAGAAATGGAATCGTCCCCTCCAAAAGGGGAGGCCAGGCGTGGTGGTGCAAGCCTGTAATCTCCGTGCTCGGGAGGTGGAGGCAGGAGTCTGCGAGTTAAGGCCAGCCTGGATTACATAGTGAATTCAAGGCCAGTGAACTACAAAATAAGACTGTCTCAACCAAAAAGAAAATTTTAAGTAAGAACGAAGCTATCTCTTAGTGTGTAGATAGTCCCATGGGGCTTTCGTCCCCACAGTTGGTGACAAGGACGCATGTCCTGGCCGTGCAGGCCACAGAAGACCCAGAACCTCTGAAACCCGTGTGGGAATGAGCTGCGTTTCCAGTACCGAGCCACTGGGGGTCAGAGCTGAACCCCTGCGTGCGACTGGAAGGCAGGGAGTCTGCGCCACCGCGTTTCCTGTGCATGGTGCACCCACTCCCCAGGGCCACTGTGGTGACCACCCCGTGGCCGACGGGCAGGCTCACACGCCTAGGTCACTCTGACCCTCACTGCTCGGCGGGAATGTCCCTTTGTCCCTCGGGTGAGGAAGTCTGTCCTTGGCTGTGGGGCGGCGAAGCGGCGACTACACCAGCGCCTCCCTGAGTGGATGTGCAGCCCTGAGCCTGCTCCTGGGTGGAGCGGTGATTACCACCACCTCCCTTATGCTCGGCGGGACCCTGGGGCAGAGAACAGCCCACTGCCCTTCCCCGTCCCCACACCAAAGCTCTACTGTGCTGAGACTTTGCAGGGATTAGCATTACTGCCTTTCAGTGTCTCTTCCGATCCTTAAGTGATGAGTTTAACTTTGTAAAGGATGTAAAAGAAACACACGTATTCTCTCCCTTTTTCTATCTTGCTCTCTCGCCTTTTCTCCCTATGTGAGGATTAAAAGAAAGTCATTGTCATCTTTTGGCTTATTTTTAAGTAGAGTCTTGCTATATAATCCACGCTAGCTTTGAAAGCACTAGGTAGCCCCGGCAATCCTCCTGCCTCAGCCTCCCGAGTGCTGAGATTACTGGAGTGTACTACAATGCCTGGCTCGAAAAGAAAATAGTTTTAAAGAAAGCGAGTGCAGCATGAGTTCACCTTTAAAGTTTTTTCTCTACATGGTTTTTAAGGAATTGTTTTTTGTGTACCTTGAATTAAAGGAGAACCCAGCTTCCTTCCCACCGTCTTTATCCAGCCAGGAAGGCAGGCAAGGCTCCGTCACATGGTCGCGGCCAGTTACAGATGCTGTGCTCGGGGTAACGGGCAGGACAAGAGTCCAGAGTGTGGGGCCAAGTGCCGGCCCATCTGTGAGGCCGCAGTGAACGCGACTCGGTGGTATAATGTCACAGTGCCCTGGGCATCGCAGTTTGCTCGGACACGAGGAACGGCTTGCGCCTTCTCGGGACTGAGGAGCTAAATGTCTCAGTGGGGCTTCCGTGTCCTGGCACAGCACAGTCTGTGTGCCTTTAGTGCAGTGGGTGTTGTGAGCGTGGTGTTCTGTCCATGCTGGTGTCTCCCGTGGCCGAGGGCTTCACTGAGCTGTGCAGTCAGTGGCGTCGGTGCCCGGGCTCGGCCCAGTGGGAGGCTGGGGACAGACTGGCCAGGTTGCTGGAGAGATGGGCTGGGCTGGGCAGGCAGAGCCAGGATGGGCGGTGCTGGCTGCACAGACCCCACTGAGGCGGGCCGCAGAGCACTTGGGCCGCACGCGTGGCCGCTCCTGTGTGCTCCTTGAGAGAACCACTCATGTGCTCAGTGCAGCCTGGCAGCCGTGTCTCCTGTGGCTTCCTGGTGTGGTTATCGCAGACGCTGTAGGGTGGAGAAGCGTGGGTGAGCTGTGTCCGGCAGTGGGGAAAGTACCAGGGAGGACCCTCATCCCCAGACAGGTCAGCTGAGGCTACGCCCCGGTAATGCTGCTTCTGCGGGGCAAAGTATTTGTGAAGAAAAACGGAAAACCAAACCCCACTCTAAACGGGCCCTGACTTGCTTAGTTTGTCACTGAGAAATTAAAAGTGCACTCACACCTGTCACCGTGCCTGGCTTTGGAAGCCAGGCCCTCGGTGTCCGGAAGCAGGAAGCACTCAGTTCGCGGTTTTCTCAGTCTGTCGCATCCTTCCGTGTCCCCTGGGTTATGTGGCACCTTGGCCACGGGGCTGCGCGGACTCGGTGGGCTGTGCGCTCTGTCACTGTCGATCCGGAGCCCTTGAGAGCTGGTTCCGAGTGGTGTTCACAAGAGCAGGGGCACCGCCCAAGGCTGGCTACCCTAAGTCCACATCCGGGACATGGCCGGGTGACCGGACAGCAACAGGCACTGAGTGTCCACGCTGCTGAGGAGATGAGGCCGCGGAGCGATGTTTCGTGGTGCACACAGGCGAGGGGGGAGGGACGGTCCCCTCCCGCTTTGTCCTTCCACGTCGTGTCTGTCCCCACACCCTGCCGCATCCTGGCCTGACCGTGCCCCTCTCCCTGCAGGGTAAGAAGAAGAAGAGGAAGAGAGAGAAGCTGCAGGAGTCCGCATCAGGTAGGGTTCACGGGACCCTTCGGCCAAGCGCCTTGTGACCACATTTGCGCTGCGTTAGCCCGTGACTGTCACATGTGTCCCTTAACTCTGCTTCTCCTTGTGCTCTGAGGAGACCTCTCCTGTCAGTCTGGCTGTGTGAAGGTCCCTGTGAATGTGTGAAAACACGTCCCCATCTGTCACCTGCGATCCTGGTGGCGACCGTGGGTGACCCACATTCTCTCCCTCCCCCCGCCTCTCTCCCTCTCTCTCTCTTCTGTTGCTTGTGTTTCCTTTGCTTTAACCCTTCTGCTGCTTTTCTGTTTACACTGTATCATACGACTCTGTACAATAATCTCACAAGACGCTGCCTCGTTGCCCTGCCGAGTCTTGCTCTGGTTGGGGATTTTAAGAACAGAAACCACGACTACAGGGTTGCTCTTTCTTGTGCACTGATTTGAGACCTCAGCAAAGTCCACGTCAGTCCCATTTTTGTGGCACAAAAGTGAGGCCACTCCAAGCCATGCTCACATCCGGGTGGCATCAGAAAAAGCAAAGCAAACGAGCCCTCGAGATGTTGTCGCTGCTGCGTGTTTGGAATGGGCGGAAGCCTCTTCTAGAAACATTTGTTAAAGACACGATTTTCTGCAGGTACAGGTCCCAGACTGACAGCCGCCTACATCTGAGACGTGGTAAGCGACTCTGGTCCTGTGACCCTTCCTGCCCCCGCCGCTCCGAGAGAGGAGGGGGTCAGCAGTGCCCCGGCCGTGCCAGCCCCACCCCGAGTGTGTGCACTCCCACCCTGACTCTTCCTTCTCAGCCATTTCTTACTGCTGGCAAATCTTCCTGCTCAAAAGGGAGGGGAGAACCAGAGTTCGGGGACAGACACCCCAGCCCCGCCCAGGAGGGCCCCGGGGCGCCCACGCCCGTGTGGCTGCCCGTGGAGGCTTCTGTGCAGCCAGCCACTTCGAGTCTCCTGAGGGACTCAAGGGCTCCGTGTTTTCCTGGCTTTTTCAGATACGGCACAGAGACTTATTTGATTAGCCATTAATTGTACCCAGGCTTTTCCTGTGCTGGGAGCTGAGGCTGATCTCGGGCCGAGGTTCAGGAGCAGCAGTTCTCACTTCTGCGTCGTGGGCTCCTTTTGTTTTATTCACATGATCACTGGCCTGGTCGCTAGGTGTCGCCCCGGCGGTTCACGGGGCCCCCAGGAAGTCAGCACGGCGACTACTGGGTCCCCAGGCCCCACCCCGCCCGCTCACCGCTGCCAGCGCCTGCCTGTCTGCCCCAGCGCTCTTGCCACCCCCTCGCCGTCGCAGTGGCCTTCCAGCCCTGTCCCCTCTGGTCCTGCACTCCCGGGGGATTTCCCTACTCACAGCCTGGCTGCACCCGTGTCCCCGCCAGGCTCAGGGTGAGGCTGTCGTCCCTTCCCCACACTCGGGGCCCCACTTCGGCCCCTCCTGCCCTGGCTCCGCCTTTCCCTGGGAGAAGTGTATGCTGCCCGGACAGAATTCGTAGCAGGGTCCGAAGAGGCTGAGGGTGCTGACCTGCCATCTGGGTGCGGGGAGCACGCTTCCACCCCAAGGACAGGCGGGCGGGTGGCCTCGCTCAGAACCCAGCCTGCGGGATGCTCCTGACCGGACAGGCGACCGCTTGCTGAGCCCCTAGGACTCCGCTTTGGTGCTGATGGCCAAGCGCCTTTCCTGGGGAGAGCCTGCAGCGGGCTTTGGTGTCAGATCTCACATCTGGGCACCTTCAGCCCTGCTGAGTCCCTCTCCCAGCCTTGTTCCAACTCCCCAGGTTTGTCCGCTCGGAGATCCCAGCTCTCCTGAACTAATCCGATGTAAGGATCCCGGCAAAACAGCCCCCAAGTGACCAGCAGTTCCTCCCCAGGAAGAGGCTCAGCCCTTCCTGCCCAGGACCAGTCAGCACTTGCAGATGCCTCTCGGAGGGCACCACTGTGAACTCGATCCCAGCACCTGGCTGGGTGTTAGGGGTGCAGGGATCACCGAGTCTGGTCTTGCCCGGCGCTTCTGGCCTTGCAGAAGTCAGTCCAGTGAAAGGCAAGGCACACGCTTCGTGTTTTGGGGTTTTGTTGTTGTTTTGCAAGAATGCTATCTTCTTTTGTCACTGACCTTTGGGCTGACGGGCAGCTCTCCCACACCCTACCTCTACGTGCGAGGTGCCCAGGGCAGCACTCAGTACTGCGTCCCACACTCTTGTCTGCAAGGCCTCAGCCTTCTATTTGTAATACAAATCAGGAAAATGTAGTCAGTGTGGGGAGATGGAGGCCGGAGGGTCACAGAGCCTGGGCTCTGGAGTCAGTTCAGGGTCAGCCTGAGCTACATCGTAATTAATACCGCCTCAAAAACATGCCACAAAGGTCACGCAAAAGTGTATTTCAGTACTTATCTCATCCTCAGCCTGGTGTTCTTCGTGACGGACATGATTTATCTTGATGGAAAAGCTGGGGCCCAGTGGACTTGTGTCCCAAAGGCACCATGTCTTTTTCCTCGTGAGTCCCAGCTGCCCCATGCCTTTCAACCACTTGTGTTTTCCGAAGGCAAAGTGTCCTCTTGACCCAGGTGAGGATCCCCCGGAGGCCCAGCAAGCCCAGCCGTGACCCCAGTTTGGGCTTCGCTCTGTCCGCTTCTCCGGGCCCCCTCTTGGACCCCTTCTTCCTGACCAGTGGCTTTCGCGGTCCCTGGATGAGGACCTGGAGAGAAGCGGCCCACGCTCAGGTTCCCAGTCGGGAGGAGGCGGAGCAGGCCCACTCCTTCTGCAGCTCCACTTAGGGGCTCCAAAAAGCCGCTGGATGCCGTGGCGACTGCTTAGGTGCGTCCATGCTCCTGAACAGCGCGCAGTGTCGTCCAGGCCAGACCTGCAGGCGGCCCTTGCTGTCCTGCGCCGGGTGCTGAGGAAGCAGGGTGGCACTTGGAAGAGTGTGGCTGTTGCTGAAAAGTGGAAGTGTGTGCTCTTCCAGAAGCAGGCAACAGTGAGGAGAGGAAAACTGGGAACAGCCTCTGTCCTGGAGAGAATGGGCAGCCGAGTGAGGGGCTGGCTCAAAAGGAAAAATCTAACGCAGGAGCGCAGCTCTGTGCGAAGGCCCGGGTTCCCCAGAGCTGCAGACCCAAGTAAAGGAGAATGAAAGAACACACTGAGAAGCGAACACGAGGCCTCTGGCTGGCCGGTGTGGAGATTCCAGGTTCCTTGGAGCCTCTGGACTCAGGGTTCCTCGGGCACTGAGACCCGCTGTGCCCCCACCAACCCTCCAGGTCCCCACTCCTGTCCCTGTCATGAGAGGCGCCATGTGGCCTGGACTGGGCGGGTCTGCTCGCTGACGACGGTCACCCTGGGGCCAGCCTGGCCTCGGAAGCAGCTGAGGACAGGTGTCAGGTGAGACCTGCAGCTTCCCAGGCACAGGGGTGGAGGAAGCCAGGCTTCCCGAAGAGGTCTGTGGAGAGTGCACTGACTGTGTCCTTAAAGAAAATTCCTAGTGCTTCCGTTTCCTGTCACCAGTGGGAACGGCCACTTCAGCTCCTGGGCTGCCCACACGCACACCCAGGCTGTCACCCTGTGCCTCTAAGGAGGTGCCTGCCACCTTGACCTGCAGCTGCAGGGTGATTGGGACTGGGTCCATAGCAAGCAGAGTGCTTTCAGAACTGTGGGCTGACTTGGATTTGCCTGGGGAATGAGCCAGCTGGAAGGGCTGTGTTGTAGACACCAACATTTATTTACTCATTCTGCAAACAGCCTGGGGCATCCCTGCAAGTCGGGAACTGCACTGGGGAAGCAGGTGCTCGCTCCGTGGGACTCATCCCTTCCCGGAGGACCTTTCAGTCCAGGATGAGAGCCTGAGTGCATAGTTACAGAACGGTCTGCGCTGTGCTGAGCAGCACATTTGACCGATGAAGACAGCGAGAGGCCTGCGGACAGAGGGAGGGGGAGGCGGCGTCCTTGAGCCGGTGCACACGCCGTGCTGCTGAGAGGCGAGGCCCCTCTGGAGTCTGTCAGGCCCCGGGTGGGGACCCGGCCATAAACGTCCCTGCTTCCTGACCGAACCAAGGCACGGAAGGAGTCAAGCAAAGGACAAGGAGCTGTGCGGCAGGAGGCTCCCTCAGAAGTTCGCTTCTTAAACCAGGTCATCAGCACTTCCGCAAAACATACATCAAAGTTGGCCATTTCGGAATTTCATAAGTTGACAAGGTATTTCGAGACTTTAATGCATTACTTTAGGTTTTAAAATATCAAAGAGCTACTTTAAAAGTAGAAACAAGCTGCAAACTTCAGAAGCTAGAACACTCCTGCGATCAAACACAAACACGTGTGCACGGTCCACTATCCCTGTTTTCAGCTTTGGCATAGTGTCTGTCTTGCAGACTTGTAATGAAGAATTCAGCTGTATTCTTTAACGAAGGGAAAACTCCCCCCTTTACCGCCCTGGGCCATCAGCTCTGTGGGCGAGGTAATTGCTGAGCACAGAGTGGAACACGGTAGTTAATTGTGCCATGCTTGGATTTACATCGCTTAAAAAACCTGTTTCTGGCTTCCTCCTGATGACAGTGTGTGCTGGGGTACCAGGGCCAGAGGAGGAGGCGGGCTTGGGAACTGGGGCTCCGGCCCCAGGACACTGTGGAGGGTGGGGAGGAATGTGGGGTGGCTGCCCGCCCAGAACAGAGAGCCGCAGACAGGCTGTCTGTCCCAGCGTCCCAGTTGGTGACCCGAGTTCCAACTGGCCAGGCCAGGTGATGTTCCTGGCTCCAAGGTCGCCTCCCCTCCCGAGGACAGATGTGGTCACCCACGCCATGCGCCAGTAAGCTTGAGTGAGAAAATAAAGCTAGGCTTTTAAGAAACGATAATCTGAAAAGGACGTTGGAGGCACCTTGAGGCTTGTCAAGAGTCTCAGAGCAAAAAGCAGGTGGGGACCACCAGGCAGCAATGTCCTGGGCCTGGCTGGTCCTCGCTTGGTGAACAGCAGGAGTGGGTTAAGGACGGGGAGGGGCTGAGGTCTGGGGGAGGAGAGC